AGATAGATAGATAGATAGATAGATAGATAGATAGATAGATAGATAGATAGATAGATAGTTATATAGACAAGATAACTGGAAAGAAAAGCCCTGTTAGCCTTCACCATGAGACTTTCTTGGAAACCTAGGAGACCAGACCCTTCTTACATTTTTCACTGATAACAACTGTGAAATTGTAACAAAGTTTTAGCCACATAAAGATAAACAACAACAACAACAAAAACCCAATTTATCCCCCGCCTTTTTCGGTGTGAATGGGTAATGTATGCAAATGTGGGCATGTGTGAACATAGGGACACCAGAGGAAGACATTGCTCTCAGCCTCAGTGTTTTGGAAAGGGGTCTCTCGCTAACCCTGGAACTCACAGGCCTGTGGCTAGGGAGGAGTGCAGTAAACCCCAGAAGTTCTGCCTTGCACTCTCCTGCCCCAGAACTAGTTACATGAGTGTACTCGCAACCATTTATCGCATTTTAGTGCTGAAGCTTAAAATACACGCATCCACTAACCACATTTACTACTTACCAACTGAATTTGATGACAGCGCTCAGTCTCAGTCCTTATTTTTATGTTCATGTGCAAGACTGTTTGACCTAAGAAATCCAGGCAGCAGCGAGAGCTGCAACCTACGGTTCCCCTATTGACCCCTGAGCAATTTCCACTAGTTAGACTGAATGACACCAATGAGGTGCCTGTGCTGTGGCCATGTACTTATCTTTTTCTTTGAGACAGGGTCTTACTATGCAGCCCTAGCTGGCCTAGAACTCACTAGGTGCACCAGCCTCACCCTCCTGAGATCTGGTTGGCCTGTCTATAAGCTGAGAGTTGTGACCTTTGACCCATTTTGTGATTGGACTGATACTATCCGCTAGCTCTCCAGATCTTTACTACATAGTTGGTGCAAAATCTCTTCTTTGTAAGATGGCTTCTTCATAAAGAACCTGAAAAATCTCACACTGAATACTGTCTTGTAGTTTCTTCCCATTATAACCCCTTGTTTCAAGTGTTTGTACAATATACTATTGCCTGTTCTCAACACAAACACCTTATGAAACCGTCCAGGAAGGAAATCACAACCCTGGTAATTGACAATAATGCTACCTTCTCTCATCTGATTCTCTAACTCATCAACAATTCTATCTTGGTCTAAAATGAGACAACCGTATTCATCATAGCCATCATATAGAAAACTGCCCATCTTGAGCTATATCACCCATATTTTTGTATTTCAGTCCTGATCTTGA